AGCTCCCTATTGAACTTTAGATTTTGGAGACTCACCTCCATTTCCTAATGGCCCCTTTTACGACAGAACAAAAGAAACACCCAGTTGCCCACCACTTACCAGCCAGGCCAGCTTCAAGCGCTCTGATGGCTTCGCGGTTTACGTGCCCAAGCCTGGACCCCATGCGAGCGATCAGTCCACGGTCCCGTGGTTGGATTTGGAATGGATCAGTCCATGGTGGTCCATGGCCTCATCCTCCTGGCAAACGGTTGGTGCCCCTTGATAGTATTGCCCAGGTTGGTGGACAGGGACCAAAGGCAACTGATGGGTGTGGAGGGTAGTGGCCTTTCGAGGGGACGTGACTGGAAAAATGGCGCTGGAGAAGCTTCCCCAAGCCGTATTGCAAGTAAACCCACCACCCATGGGGAATGCACGGTAAATGTGTTGTGAATCGTGACAGTATACGTACAAGTCTAAGTCAGGCTCAGATTTTTGCTATCAAAGGAGCCAAACCTCAGAACTGTGCACTCTCATCCTGTATGCCTGGATAGGTCGCAGCGGAATCCTCGATTCGGGACCACACCCGGCACGAAGCATGGGTAGAATCATATCTTGGGACCCCGAAACGCACAAGAAGAGGGCAGAACCGCGTGAGCCCAAATGCAGCCGCATCGCAAGATCCACCAACAGCACTTTCTCGCCTGCAACCGTGCCTGACAGTACAGCCGAAATAGGGCGACCCCCATCGCTTCCTTGTTGGTTTCCGTTTAAATCAACCCGAAAATGGTTACGCTCATAAAATAGATTATAGCCCCATTGGGTGGGTTCTGTCAATCTGAGAGGGACCCCACCGGATCAGACTCAAGGAAGGGAACGCCTTTGCCAATTGCCTTTTGAGAAGTGTCTCTTTGAGCCGCCTTATAGCTCGGGTGGATCTTGAGCCTCAAAGTCGCTTATATATATATATATTAATATACACATACAATACAGTTACGGACCCAGGCTGGGACGATTCTGCCAGAAAGGTTGCGGCCCAAGCAATGAGGCAAGAGCCAACTTGCACGACTGAGGTTGAACTTGACCTTTTGGGACATCGACATGCCTTTGGACAACCTGAGAGCACACGCCTGAGTCGACCGAACCCAAACGTTGACTTGCACCGTTTCTATGGACATTGGCCAAGCCAAGGAGCCAGGGATGCTTGTCCCTATTAAGAGAGATAAAGAGCTGCAATCGCCCCCAATTTTTTTTGTTAGGTTGGGGCCATGTTCGAATGACAGTCCTTTGCGCTTTAAGGGGACAAATCTACGGCACCGCCAATCCCTTTCCCGATCGGACCTTTCCTTGTTCTGCTTGTCATCGGCAACCCAAAAGGCTGCCTCACGTCGGGGCCTGTCAGAGCGCGGGATTCCTAAAACATGCCCGGGACCTTTCGCTCACTTACTGAGTTCCTGGACTTTGTACTTTTTGGGCAGACCATTTTAGTGGCAACCAACAGTTTGGACTTCTTGTTGGCCAATTTGCTCAGGACGTGAGTTTGTCAGGTTCCTTGAGTCAATGGTCTCCACTTAGAGTGGACGCTCCTGCTCATTGAGGTTAGTCAGAGTCACCAACCAGTGTATGAATCTTATCTCGCGAGAGGTCGTGTGAATCCTGTTTGCCCTTCCAAAGCTTCTGGCTGACGGGGTTGACAGCTCGCCCCTGGGTGTCTCCTCGGAAAACTATTTGGACCCCTCGTTGGGGTTCCATGCTGGTAAACAAATCAGCCGAACTGAAGGCTGAGTTATTTTTGGATTCATGGTATTTGATTGAAGATGATTCTAGTGTTATTGCGTTTAAGAAGAATTGGTGTTTTGGAACCATCAGTGGCACGAGGAAAGAGTGGAGATCTACGGGTACAAGAAGTTCTTCACCGTGGATCAGCAGGGCAGGGAAACACAAGGCCTGCCAAGCGAGAGGATTGCTTCCGTTGCGAGAGGCCACTTTAGTCACTTTGAGGGACACGATCTTAGCGGCAAATATAGAGTTCAAACTTTGTTTGGCTGTTGGGTTTTTCAACCTTTTGTTGGCTGTTGGGTTTGTTCAACCGTTTTTTTCTCGCTGTTGGGTTTCTTCAACCTTTTTCTGGCTGGTGCCTTGGATTGGTGGTGTGGAGGGCTGCGTTGCCTTTGGGTTGAGTCGACAACCAGGGGCTCAAATCCAGAAAACCACCAATCCAAGCCACCAAGGGCAAGATGCAATGACAATGAATGAAGATACTTGAAGCGATCCGAAGTGCTGGCTTGAAACCGGTTTGATTTGGACGCTATTTTTGAGTCAGTGAATATGTATGATTTGTTCAGATTGGTAGCTGTTTCTTGAATGGGGGAAGATATTGGGGCAAGCCTATGTCCCTGCTCAAATCAGGGGAGAAACACCGCAGCACCCAGTAACAACACGTGGTTCGCAGGTTCTTGTCGAACATTACTGGAACAATCCCAAGTGCGATATGCACTCCCTTCAACGCCCTTCAACAAATATGGTTCCATTATTTTGCCAGGTGCCAAGCTAGGCCATCGCTTGCCCCACTAACCGTCGATTCACGCCACCAATGCTCAAAGCAAGGAAACAACGCTTGGCAAAGTGACCAACCAGAAACACCAGGCTTTGAAGTCTAGCGCATACGAAGGCGCGGTTGCCAACAGACGTGGCCGTTGTGCATGGCAGTTTACCTTGAGCAAAGCCATGGTGAAGGCCACGTTTCACCCTGGTTTTGTTTCATTCTGCTGCCCCCAAGATTGAAATAGAAGCCAAGAACCTGTTTGGGACCCTACAGGACCGCACCTCCCTGAGGGTTACCCGGTTTTCAGCCAAATAAGGGCAAATATGACCTCAAGATTTGCCTCAACGATTCAATGCATTCAACGGTTTGGGTGGGTTATCCTGAGGCTGTTGGGGGGGTACTTACTTTCCGGGACAAAGGGACCAATTCCTTAGCCTTTGACCCACAAGAGGTACAATGGCCAGGGTTTCCTTTTTGTTCAAACAACATTTTGTGGGCCAGTTTCCAGTTGAGTTTCCTTTTGGGGTGAGGTCTAAAACGGAAGCACAGGGAAACCGCCGAATTCGCGAGAGGCAACTCTGTGGCCTACATGCAGAAGCCGGGGGGCGGCGAGCAGGGGCCTCAGTCGGGTGAAATGGGTGTGTCTCACAATAGGAATCGGTCTCCCAAAATGGAAAAGCTGTCCCATATCAGAAAGAGGAGCCTCAAGATTCAAAGCCAAAAGGGTACGTACCGTGCTCAAAGTCCATGTGTCAACCTTCGATATTATTGATAGTCGACTTCTCAACCGAGGGCGGCCTGCAAGTCATTTGTTCCCACTGCATTTCCGACTGCTCAAAAGAGTTGTCCTATGCAGAAAGCAAACGCTAAAACTGTTCCTGTGATGGCACGTTTGTTGGGGTCAGCAATGGTTATTTCAACAAGGTGTTGTTAGTCTATTTGCAGCGGTTGGTGACCCACCTTGAAAGTTTCCCACACTGGGGTTTGGCGCAGGTTTCACCTCGAATGATCCTCAGTGTTGATGGGGCCTCCAATGTGGAGAGCCGGAAGCTGGATGAATCCAGGGCCTTTCATTGGAGGGAAGGACTTGGCTGCTTGGTGGCAAAGAATGGTCTCAACCAGCTGCCAATGTGGAGATTGATGCTGCGCCCAGCAAGGCTGGGTCCTGCCCAGCTCCAAAACCATTATGGATCGACAGAGTTGCTCCCAGCCTGTGAGGCATGAACAGAGCACAAGTTCGGAGAATCGGCGCGGTTTCTCTGGAAGCTAGAGAACCAGTTTCTATCCCGGAGCCAGGGTCTTGAGAGCAACCCTGGGACAACAGCAGCACTGCCCAAGAAACATTTGTTATACATGGATTCCGCAGCTTGCCACGGGATTTGCTTTTTCCTTTCGGCTTGCCATTGTGGGGCAGCTGTTGCATGCGCCCTAAGATGTATGAAGTTCGAACGTCGATCGCCCATTTGGGGATCAGAGGATAGTCTGACTCAAGGCCTCTTGGATCGAACGGACATGAGTTGCGATATGAGCTCATGTTGCACGCATGTGAATGGTCAAAGAGATATATATATATATATTGACCTTGATTTGGCTGTCCAAAGCCTCAGTCCATCTCAATTTTCCTTTGGCTTGCGCGCGTCCCTTTTGCAGTCGGAGCTTTGTTTGCATGGTTCAGGTTCTCTGGTGGACGGCTGCAAGTGTGCGGCCCTCAGTGTTCTAAGTCTGGAACAGCACCAGAGATCTGATCTGGACAAAAAGCCCATCGAGCTCGCTGGGGGTTTTTCAACAAGCCCGTCCGGGATCAAGGTCCTTTACTGGGGGATATTTAAGGGCTGCCGCCCAGTGCCGCCGACCCCTCCATGGTGAAGGCCACGTTTCACCCTGGTTTTGTTTCATTCTGCTGCCCCCAAGATTGAAATAGAAGCCAAGAACCTGTTTGGGACCCTACAGGACCGCACCTCCCTGAGGGTTACCCGGTTTTCAGCCAAATAAGGGCAAATATGACCTCAAGATTTGCCTCAACGATTCAATGCATTCAACGGTTTGGGTGGGTTATCCTGAGGCTGTTGGGGGGGTACTTACTTTCCGGGACAAAGGGACCAATTCCTTAGCCTTTGACCCACAAGAGGTACAATGGCCAGGGTTTCCTTTTTGTTCAAACAACATTTTGTGGGCCAGTTTCCAGTTGAGTTTCCTTTTGGGGTGAGGTCTAAAACGGAAGCACAGGGAAACCGCCGAATTCGCGAGAGGCAACTCTGTGGCCTACATGCAGAAGCCGGGGGGCGGCGAGCAGGGGCCTCAGTCGGGTGAAATGGGTGTGTCTCACAATAGGAATCGGTCTCCCAAAATGGAAAAGCTGTCCCATATCAGAAAGAGGAGCCTCAAGATTCAAAGCCAAAAGGGTACGTACCGTGCTCAAAGTCCATGTGTCAACCTTCGATATTATTGATAGTCGACTTCTCAACCGAGGGCGGCCTGCAAGTCATTTGTTCCCACTGCATTTCCGACTGCTCAAAAGAGTTGTCCTATGCAGAAAGCAAACGCTAAAACTGTTCCTGTGATGGCACGTTTGTTGGGGTCAGCAATGGTTATTTCAACAAGGTGTTGTTAGTCTATTTGCAGCGGTTGGTGACCCACCTTGAAAGTTTCCCACACTGGGGTTTGGCGCAGGTTTCACCTCGAATGATCCTCAGTGTTGATGGGGCCTCCAATGTGGAGAGCCGGAAGCTGGATGAATCCAGGGCCTTTCATTGGAGGGAAGGACTTGGCTGCTTGGTGGCAAAGAATGGTCTCAACCAGCTGCCAATGTGGAGATTGATGCTGCGCCCAGCAAGGCTGGGTCCTGCCCAGCTCCAAAACCATTATGGATCGACAGAGTTGCTCCCAGCCTGTGAGGCATGAACAGAGCACAAGTTCGGAGAATCGGCGCGGTTTCTCTGGAAGCTAGAGAACCAGTTTCTATCCCGGAGCCAGGGTCTTGAGAGCAACCCTGGGACAACAGCAGCACTGCCCAAGAAACATTTGTTATACATGGATTCCGCAGCTTGCCACGGGATTTGCTTTTTCCTTTCGGCTTGCCATTGTGGGGCAGCTGTTGCATGCGCCCTAAGATGTATGAAGTTCGAACGTCGATCGCCCATTTGGGGATCAGAGGATAGTCTGACTCAAGGCCTCTTGGATCGAACGGACATGAGTTGCGATATGAGCTCATGTTGCACGCATGTGAATGGTCAAAGAGATATATATATATATATTGACCTTGATTTGGCTGTCCAAAGCCTCAGTCCATCTCAATTTTCCTTTGGCTTGCGCGCGTCCCTTTTGCAGTCGGAGCTTTGTTTGCATGGTTCAGGTTCTCTGGTGGACGGCTGCAAGTGTGCGGCCCTCAGTGTTCTAAGTCTGGAACAGCACCAGAGATCTGATCTGGACAAAAAGCCCATCGAGCTCGCTGGGGGTTTTTCAACAAGCCCGTCCGGGATCAAGGTCCTTTACTGGGGGATATTTAAGGGCTGCCGCCCAGTGCCGCCGACCCCTCCGCTGGGGGCCAGCCCAGGTTTTTTTTTGTTCTGGCAGCGGCTTTTGGCTGGTTCTGGCTTGCTGGCTTGCTCGCTTGCTTGCTTGTTTGCTTGTTTTCAGCGCTTTTCCAGGCCGCGCTCGTTTGCCCACAGCGAGCACCAACCAAAGGAGTGCTATATGGAAAGTAGACAGCAATCGGTCCCCAGGGCGCAACCAGCAAGAACAGCTTCGCGTCCAGCGCGCTTGGAGGCCGCACTCGCTGCGCTGCAGCGAGCACGAACCAAAGGAGTGCGCCGGCAGCCTGCTCCGCCGCGGCCGAGTGCCTAACGTCGCATTTGAGTCCAACATGCAGCAAAGCTATCGGTGCAGAGGGAGCGGCCAGCCACACAAGCTTCGCTTCCCGCGCTTTTCCAGGCCGCACTCGTTTGTCCACAGCGAGCGCCAACCAAAGGAGTGCGCCGGCAGCAGAAAGGAAAAGGAAAGAAACCAAAGGAGTGCGCAGAAAAGGAGAAAAAGGAAGAAAAAAGGCCGTACGGGCGGGCCGCGAGAGAGCTTCAGCGCTGAAAGCTATGCCCTGCAGGTGTTCGAGCGCTGTTTTAGGCCGCACTCGTTTGCCCCCCACAGCGAGCACCAACCAAAGGAGTGCGAAGACAGGCCGAACGGGCTGGCCGTGACAGAGCTTCAGCGCTGAAATCTGCGGCCAGCATGTTTGAGCACTCTCGGCCTTCTCAGCTCAGGGGTAGTTGGTGTAGCGGCATCACACCCAGCATGTGAGAGGGCGGGCTCAATCCCCGGCCTGTCCATGCCCATGTGCGCCTGCGTCTGGGACAGTCTGCCGATCCCTGCTCTTCTTTCCTTTGGGTTTGCTGTGCGTCTTGCCAAGGGCGGCTGTTTCCACCGCGGCCGGGTGCCGAACGTCACTGTAGAATCCTATACAGAAGGTAGAAAGCTATCGGTCCCCAGGGCGCAAGCAGCAAGAACAGCTTCGCGTCCAGCGCGCTTGGAGGCCGCACTCGCTTCGCCGCAGCGACCAAAGGAGTGCGCCGGCAGCCTGCTCCGCCGCGGCCGGGTGCCTAACGTCGCGGCTGAGTCCAATATGCAGCAAGGCTATCGGTCCGTCCAGCGGCCTCTTTTCGCTGTGGGCAAACGAGCGCGGCCTGGAAAAGCGCTCAAGCACCTGCAGGGCACAGTTTTCAGCGCTGAAGCTCTGTCACGGCCCGCTCGTCCGGCCTTTTTGCTTCCTTTCTGCTGCCGGCGCACTCCTTTGGTTGGTTCTCGCTGTGTGCAAAGGAGTGCGGGCCCGCCCATTCAGCCTCTAGTCTTCCTTTCTCTTTCCTTTTCCTCTCTGCTGCCGGCGCAAGCGCGGGAAGCGAAGCTTTTGTGGCTGGCCGCTCCCTCTGGACCGCTTCAGCGCTGAAAGCTATGAGCAGCAGGTATTTGAGCACTCTCGGCCTGCTCAGCTCAGGGGCAGTTGGT